ACCGTGTTTTCAAATGTATAAACATTTCAGACATAAATATTGAGAAAATCTTTGTTTACGTGTATAGCACAACGGTGCAAACTCGTGTTCAGTGCAACGAAAACTCTACCAGATCTTACGAGAATCTATCTGTATCAAAGCTTGTCAAAACTGCTATATAAACACTGCAATAACTGTGAAACTATTGAAATCTAAAGTTACATTATTGAATACATGCGAAAAGCTGAAAATGACTCATGAAACAACGTGACCTTCGAAATATATCAAAGGTCAATGAGACTTGTTATTGTGAACACGTCATAATTAGATTAAAATGCGGAAAGCGGATGCGGATTCACGGAACGGATATGGGGATAAAATGCGGATGAAATGCGTCGTTTTAATGAGATTTTCGCCTCTTATTTACGTTTCTGTGTTTTAGATTTATGTTCCTTTTTTGTAATGGAATACAACGTCGTAGTGCTTATTATGTATAACATATCTTATACAGCTATTTTCTCAAGTTGTCACTGAGACAAAAGCCAAAGTGTACAATATGGGCGCTAAAAGGATGGTGGGAATAATCACAGATTTAAACAAGTCACCTAGGTTGCCGGCGACCCTATATAGTGTGGTTTTCAATTGGAAACTTTACAACATTATAACAGAAATTATGCCTTGTGACTAATATTATATGAGGAAATAAATAATATTACATAACTCTCGTCATTCTTTAATCTTAAAGTATTAGATTTAAACCAGTTCTTAGCATTTTTACTGTTGTAACAGTCACGCGCGCTACTACTGTACGTCATATCGACATGTGATTAAAGCTATAAACCACGCTTGAAAAACTATTCAATTAATAAGTATGTCAATATAGCGTTCGTCTTTGAAACTCTGCACTATCCTTGGATCCCTAGTTCAATACTGAAATTATACTAATATTTATATAGATAAATGTAAAAATATATACGAATCTTGGACATTGAGCATATGACGCTCTTCCCACACACAGTTATTACAAGGTCTTATAGAGTATTACAAGTTAGAATTCCCGAAAGCCAAACTAAGCTAGTGCATCCCCAACAACTAAGCTAGTGCATCCCCATTCTCCTTTTTGTAGGATTCTAAGCGACGTAATTACGGCATTAATCCGGAAATAGAGCACGACAGACGCAAGGCAATTCAGAAGAAAATAGAGAGCAAAGAACAAAAACTTGCACAAGAAACTACTTTCTCCAATGTACGGACAATGAGTCGCCATGCTATGGAAGTAGAGAAATCTTTAAACAGAGGAACAGAAAAGTCAAATGTATTTTCCCACCTGGTTCATTCTCAACAGAAATGTAAGAAAAGCCTTTATGGTTCCTATTCTGTACGTTTTAATTGTAATGGTGAAAAAATAACCTTCGCCCATCTTCTTAAGTACTAAACGTGTATTTATACTTATACGTAATGAATATATGTCATTATATATTATGCATTATCTTATTTGATCGTTCCTTGTCATGGATGACCTGTTTACTTCGAATTTATTCTGTGTTTATGTTTCTACAGTTGACCCCGCCCTTGACACCGTGTTGATGGAATATAACGAAAAACGAAATTGCAAGAATCAAGAAATCAAAGGAAATATTGGTCGTGCTCAAGAAGGTGAAGTCTGCAACACTCATTATGAATCAGATGATGATCATGGCAGTGAACGTGTGCTTCCTTTAGACGAAGAAGTTATAAAAAGACATCGGTTGACCTTGGATGAAATCCATTCGATTCCTCGATTTAGGGATTATCAGCCGGGCTTTCCAAATGAGGTACTGCATGTAAAATATAATATTCTTTGCCGGAAAGCATTACATTTTTTATCACCCACCCATGCATGCAGTCCGAAGATCCTGATTATAAACATTACTCTCTAAGACACAAAACGCGGGACGTTGTTTTATACAGAGACAAGAAGTTTTGTAAAACTAAAAGAACAGAAGAATTTTTTACTTTTAAATATTTTTAGCTATTATAAACTTTAATGTATACATGTATCTATCATACTGTTATGTAAATAACTCGTTAATTCAGTTGTCTGTAACTGCAAAGATTTTATTAAACCATCTTCCACCTTAGCTGTGTTCCCGCCTTAGTTACGAGGGAGATGATTAGAACCATTACTTTTCCGTACTTTTATTAACTCCATGGTTGTCATAATTCTATGCTTTTTAGCTATTCTAGAAAATTTGCCCAATAACTGTAAGCATCTACAGTATTTCTTAGTATATAGTAGGTCAATCTACGGGATTTGAATGTTGTAATGGGTGGGGTAAATGATTCAATTATCACAAATTTATGGAATGTTTTAGGTACAACAATAAAATCAGTGAATGAAGTGCCTTACACATTTTACAGGTGCTATACATAAAGAACTTGAGCAAGAAAGTATCAGAAGCTGACCTCCAGGCGCTGTTTAACAGATATGAAGATCAAGATAATCAAATTCATATACGGTTAATGTCAGGACGCATGAAAGGTCAAGCCTTTGTCACATTTGCAGGTTAGAATCATGCGTATTATAGCCGCCGGATATGGTGCTTTTTGCTAACTGAGCGGATGAAAAAGATCCAACCGTACAATAGATATTGTTCGTACAAGGATTAATCCCTTTTATGTGTCAATAAAGTATATATGATAATCATTGTATCAAAGTAAGATCGATCTTGTCGTATCATATTTTTTTCCTGTCGTATCAATTTTTTCCTGTCGTATCAATTCAAATATTTACCAGATATTTAGCTTATTTCATATTTTGTCTTATATTTCTAAAACTGACATCTATTGGTAAATCATAGTATTGATTGTGTCAATAGCCTTGTTCACAAAGTCAAAATGTAATAGGATAAACATCCCTGATCCCTCCCTTTTTTAACATATCAAATAAATTAATGCATGTTATTTACACTGCATGTGTGAGAGTGAATGAAGTGGTGAGTACGTGGTTATCCCACGCAAGCTCCACGATCAAAACAAAAATTGGCCGGGATTTTTTCCAAAATTTTATTTTGATTTAATTCAACGTTGATAAAGTGCATGGCTGAAGACACTCATTGCCCATGCACAATATTGCAAAAGCATAAATAAATAAAGTAAATACCGTAAGTCATACACTAAACAGTGCTTTCGCTTAAAACTAAATTTCCGTTTAAATCCTTTTTTTTTTCCAAGAAATAAAAGTACTTGTGCTAATGTGCTATATCTACAGTATAGCCTCTGGAAACTTTGTTCTTTTCCCCTTCATATGTATAACCGTGTAATATTTAACTGCTTTTTCTTTTGAAGATAAAGATGTTGCGATTGAAGCATTTAATCTGGTTAATGGATATGAACTTTATGGACGACCAATAATCATTCAGTATGGCAGAAAATGCAAGGACTCTGCTTGAAGATAATTTAACCATCGTCATCTTCTGCTGTCTTCGTCACAGTCCTTGGATAATGGCATCCAGCCTTTTGTCACATCCACCCATGCCATCCAGCCGTACTGCATGTGACATCCAGCCTTATGTGACACCCATCCTTATGTCACATCCAGCCTTGTGTGATATCCAGGCTTGTGTGATATCCATCCTTATGTGACACTCAGTCTTATATGACATCCAGCCTTACAGTATGTCACATTCAACCTTATGTGACATCCAGCCTTATGTGGCATCCAGCCTTATGTACCATCCAGCTTTATGTGACATCCAGCCTTATGCACAGTACCATCCAACCCTGTGTGACATTCGGTCTATATATATATATATATATATATATATATATATATATATATATATATATATATATATATATATATATATATATATATATATATATATATATATATATATATATATATATATATATATATATATATATATATATACCATCCATGCAGTCTTGTGTGACATTCAGCCTTATGTGACATCCAGCTTTATGTGACATCCAGCCTTATATGACATCCAGCCTTATGTACCATCCAGCTTTATGTACCATCCAGCCTTATCTGATATCCAGACTTATGTATACCATCCAGCCTTATGTACCATCCAGCCTTATATGACATCCAGCCATATGTATCCAGCCTTATATGACATCCAGTCTTATGTACCATCCAACCTTATGTACCATCCAGCCTTATGTGACATCCAGCTTTATTACAGCATTTTGTGACACCTATCCTTATGTACCATCCAGATTTATATGACATTAGGATTTTTGTCGCACGTAATTGGTCACGAATGACAAGTGTGCATGCAACTTGCACTACACAGCCAGAAATCTCACAGGCCTGTCGCAAGCTGTTGATTTTACCGGCTTGCGGCAAGTTGTCAACAAGTCGCGACAGGTCTGTTGGTTTCGTCAGGCGGTAACAG